ACACACACACACACACACACACACACACACACACACACACACACACGTATCTGTTTAGAACCAGAGCCTCATAGGAAGAGCTCTCAGACTGCTCTGACAGTGGACTCTCTGGCAGCTCTGCAAATATAAATGCAGCAAGGTAGAAGAGAGAACAGCATTTCATTTGTTTTTATTTTTCCCAAGCCCGTTTTCTTTTATGCCTATTCACTTTTAAACCAACTGGAGGAAGTTGTTCTCCACTATCTATAAAATTGGTGTAGATTAAGGTTAGGTTTAGGGCATGACAGGGCCCCCGCAAAAGGCTACCTGTATGTTTTCAGGATATTCCCTGCTTCCATTTCCCACAACACTGGACTTCAGGTGTTAACAAGCAAATTTTAAACATTTTTTTCAGAGGTTGGGAAAGAATATTCAAGGTTAGATCTCGCCACTCAAGAGGTAAATTGAAGAAGTCTCCCAAATACTCTTACAAGGGAGTAATCCAAAGAAATACAATTTAGAAATCAATGTGTTTCTTTGTTTTAATCCATTATCCCTAAACTGTATTCAGACCAAGCTTTAGAATGAAGGGAACTATTCTCAGTAACATATGGCAAAAATATTCAGAGTAAAGGTGGACTAAAATAAAAGCCAAACAAATACATTCACTTTTGCTGTTTGGCATGGCTTTAGAATGCTTTTCTTACTTATCCATTTTATCCGAGGGAAAGGACAAAATTAGCTCTTTGTTTGGGCACTCTTGACTCATAGGCAGCTTCAGTATCACCCAATTAATAATGATTAATCAAAATACTAGGAAGAACCCAATATATAATTCCAATCTGATGGGATTCTCAACATTCCAAATACATTCAAACTATGCAATTTGTTTTAATTTGGGGAAGGATACCCAATGTGTAGTTCATGAGACAATTTATTTTAATTCCAGGAAATCCTCTAATGATTTTCATAAAAATTAAATTTATGAGCCATATGGAGAGGAAGAAAATGAAATATGAAATTAGAACATAATACCTTATGCACTCAAGACACCATTAATTACCCTTTTATAATTTTTTAAAATCCAGAACAATGTTGGTGAAAACTTATATTTGGTGGCTAAGTTTTTAGTAGGTTCATTATACTAAAGTACAGGTGCCGCTATGTCTCCTACCTTTTGTAAAGTGAAGCTTCTCTTTGCTTAATTAGGCATAAGCCAAAATCCACAACCAGTTGTGATTCTCAGATGCTTTTCTTTTTCTGTCTAAATTATGTAATTGGCTGCTTACATCCACAGTGGGAAGCTATTTACCCAAAATCAGAGTATGCAAATGAAGTGGGATTGTAGACTTATGAAAATTGCTGTAGTCAGTGTTGATGAACACAACTCCATTCAAATGGCAAATCAGTATATAAGATATTGGCTGCTAAAACTTCATTTACGTATATTTTGAATCTGAAAATATATAAAGAAGAAATTATTAAACATGAACTGTGTCTGGTATATATCACTTATTCCAAAAAATGTGTATAATTCTGCATGTTTGAAGAAATTTGCAAAACCGAGCCTTTAAAGAAGGCATACTTTGTTTGTACATTTGTACATTAGCCAGAATGGTTTCTCTGTACATAACTATTTAGACTAAGTTCTTAACAAAGGCAAAACAAAAAGCTTTTGTGGAGATATTGCTAAATAAAAATATGCTCATGTTAAGTATTTTAAAGTTAAGTATTTTTTGCAGAGATAATTTAAATCATACTTTAAAATCAGAATATATATATATATATATATATTATATGTGAAGCTGACAAATATGTAAGCAGCAGCAGATGCACTTACTTATAGACCAGATATAGAGCTGGCAAAATTAACTATCCGCTTATCATATGAAATATTAATAGTACAGTAAAGCCAAACAAAGTAATATAGATATTGACAACTCCTAATAGGAAGATTATACAATAAATATAAGTAATAAATGGCTATGTTCTCACTTTAAATGTACATTAATAGCTGTAGATTTTAGTTTGCTAAAGATACATGATTATCACCATTAAGGAACAATGCCAGGAGAGAGGAAGAAATCAAAGTAACAAAATTATTTTTTCCGTACATTGTATTGCCTATCTATATGGTAGGACTGAAGTGACATTATCCCGTCTTTCATTTGACTTCTTACAACTCTGTAAACATCTTTTCTCTTAACTGAAGTGAAATACATTTCTCTGGCTCTTATTTTCCAATGACATGTCAGAACAGAAGGGGTTTAGATCCTCTAAATCCACAGCCCGCCTTGGCATGTTTGACTTTATCTGAAGGTATTAGAGTATAAATAATTCCATCAGTGACTTTTCTGCAGTAGCCAATAGGAAGCTTAGGAGACTGAATCGCCTTCTACTTGGAGGAATCACTTTCCTCTCTGCCATTGGAGGAGGAATGCCAAACACACACTATGGCAGATGTAGTTGCAAGACTCTCCTGTATCATATTAATGAAGCAAGCACAATCCTCATTTCATCACAAGCCCCGGAAAACTGCTGTAGAGAAACAAGTCTCGCTCTTGATTAATTTGGAAGTATTTGAAGCGTATCAAATTGGGTATATATACATATATCTGCATGTATAACCAAAGATGCTTTCATTAGTGTTGCTGAATTGTCTGTATGTACTATAAATGAAATGGAAAGTTGGTTGAAAATTAATATTAATTTTAAAATGTATCCTTATGTAAAATATGAATGGAAATTTTAATGCTTTGCTTAACTGTATCTATGCTTCATTTGTTGCACAATTTGCATGATTTCAACCAAAAATGGGAAATTTGAGATTTTTAATACATGTCCTCTCTTGCATATTAAAACTATCTACCAGCACTGTTCAAACTGGGGGCTGTCTCTTATAACTTAATATTTTAGTTATTCTATATGGAAAGCCTTCTGCGTGTATTTGCTTAATATACGGACATGACTAGCCCTACAGCTTATTTTCATTTGTGATCAATTATCATATATTGATAGGGACTGGGGTCAAAATATTTTCTGGTGAGATAAACTATGCAATTGTAGCACTGTGGTAGTTACAAAGAAGTTGAACACCTTCTCACCACTCAACTTTGAGTTTACCTCTAGTTTTTATTCCAAGTCCAAACTTAAAATCTTACAAATGATTTTCTGTACTAATGTGCAAAATGTTTGAATACGGGAAAAATGCCCTGCTTGTTTAACATTACAAACAGGTTGTTTTGGTCATTTAAGTCTTGAGTTAGAAACATGACGTCGGGCTGCAAATGCTACTGAACTGGCCAAAACCATCAACTGTAGATGTAAAACAGCTACTCTGCACTCAGAACATTTTTTGAATTCAAAAGAGACATTTCAACTTGAGAATGGCGCTTTGTACATTCCTATTCTGGCCTTTATACTGCATATGAAGTAGGTAGCGGCCCAATTTGAAATTTTGATCAAAGTAATAGAAATCTGCAATTTGTTCCATTTTCTCAGGCCGTATACCCTGAGAAGGACTGTTTGTAATCCCGTTGGAAGAAAATTGGCCAATTTCAGCAAAAACCTATACTGAATGAATGACATGTCTGCTAGGCTGGATTGAATTTTGAATGTCAAGTTAGGGAATTCCTCTCCCAGAAAAAAGAAACAGCAGTATATTTTGTTTCTACTAAAAAAAATCTCTTTTTCTCTGATATACATTAAATGAGTACTCCAATCCACAATATGTTAAGAAATTAATTAGACAGGCAGTATGAGCTGATGCATGGGTGTTTTAGCATAGCAGAGATTTTCTTTTTGGCTTTGAATATTGTATCAAAGAAATACCTAATTAGGATTATAATATACCTTTTCCAATTAGCTATTAGTGTTCAAGTAATCAGTTGTTCTTCCCAGTTTCTAATGTAAGAGCACAAAGAACACCATTTGCCTGATTTTCTTTTCCCCAAAAAATAATTCCTCCACAGGGAGTCCTCATTTAGCAACTGCCTCAAAAAGCAACTGTTCATAGTTATGACAGGGATGAAAAAGGAACTTTGCAACCAATCCTCACACTTACCACTTTTGCAGATCTATAAAGCAAAAGAAAACTATAGGTAGTCCTCTTTTAGTGATCACAATTGGGACTGGCAACTCAGTAGTCATGCAAAGCAGTCGCCATCTCAGTGACTGCTTTGCATGACTACTTTTAATACAAAGCTGGTAGCCTCACACTGCAACGCATTCAGTTTCACAGCTACTACAATTGTTGCCAAGCAGGGACAAAAATAGCTAGAGAAATTATTGAAGCCTGGGAATCAGTCCCTTATGAGTCAACAGGAGTGCTGATTTATGACCAGCTTATCAGGTGTTTAGGACCTGGCAGTACAAAGGAACAACGATCAATAACATAATAGCCGGCAACACACTAATTAACAAAAGCTAGACACAACCAGCACTGTTAGATATTCAATGGGGAAGTCAGTGACATCAGAAAGAAATCCTTTCCTTCTACCGTTGTCCTGCCTCTTCAATCTAGCCCATATCTAACACTGGCAACGAGGATGGGATTCTAGAAGAGAACAAAGGAAACGAGGTGAAGACAGAAAATTCTAACAACAGAACACTGCTATCACCATGCTGATCATCAGAATGTCCACCCACGCTCAACCAGAACCTTTTGATCCAAAAAAGCATGACTGGGTCGCATACAAGGGACAATTTTGAATGTTTTTAGAAACAAATTCACTGCAGGATGCAACAGAACAGAGGAAGAGAGGTCTATTCGTGGGGTATTGTGGAAATCGCCTCTACAAAACGGCTAGAACCCTAGCTGCTCCC